TACTTCCATGACTCTGATGCAACTTACTTAATTTTCTTTTGATTCCTATAATTTGATCGATGATTTATCTACCAAAAATAGTGTTTGTGTAAGCTTTTTTTTGTTTTTATTATTTTTTTATTTTTTATAATTAAACCAGTTATTACCATTTAACATTTACCTTTTTTTTAATTGTTTTTACTTTTGAATTCGTTGATGATCATATAATTAAAAGATATTGTTACTTGAGTTGAATGTGTTAAGTCTTGATTGATGACGCCTCCATTAGTCACTTTGTCTACCTTAATATTGGTTTGTTCAAGCTTTTCTTCCATTCTCAGATTGAGACGATCTTATTTTGCATCACTCAGTATTTGGGCTAATATTCATTAGGGAAAATGACACATATAACCCACGAACTTTTTAGGATTGACTCATTCAGTCCCTAATGTTATTTTTGTGTCTTTTAAGAGAACAAAGTTGGTTGTGTCGGGTCTAAAACGTCATTTTTGAGAAAACGAAGAGGTAACCCGGTTACCCCTTATGAGTTATGACAGCTCGCGTACTTTTATATTTTAATAATTAAAAATAATAAGAGGGGCCCACAACTGTGTGTGTGTGTTTAGAAAACAAAAATCCCCACACCTCTCTTTATCCCATTGCCAACAAAAAGAAACACGACCACCATTTGTGCTCACGACCTTCCACCATGCCTGCCCGATTTCAGATTCAACACACATTTACAGATTCAACACACATTTACAGATTCATATTTTGTTTCTGCTGCTGAGGCTCATGAACATTTGTAGGTTCGACCCCGAAACATATATCGTTGATGAACGATGTGATGAACGACCAACCATCGGCGCTTCCTAGACCTGCTTCATCTTCTCCGGCTGCTCCATCTTAAGCCGCCTACTTCATCCTCTTCGTCCTTGGTTAAATATTCTTCTAGGTTTTCGGTTCACATCATCTCATCTTAAGGGTTTTTGATTTGCACCAAGAGGGGTAAGATCAGCAACCAAAAAACCCCTTTAATTGTAGAAATGGAGATCAAATCAGGGAAGCCACGAGTTCTATCTTCCTGAGTCGTCGGTGGAGGCAAGGTTAGTGACGGAGGCTTGGTCTCGCTGGAGAAATCATATCAAGTGTTTCCAAAAGGTGGGTTCAATCAATTCAATCTGGGGGGTGTTTGATTAACAGGGGAAGAAGATGATAGTCGGGAAATGGGTTTTAAAGGTTTTCCAGCATGAGAGAGAGTATGTTGCTCTGAATCCTTCAAAATGATTTCTTCTTATGTACATAAATCATCTGATTTACTTACAGAACTTTCACAATCTGATGTCTTGATGGGAATCGTCTTTATGCCCAAATCTTCAATCGATTCATATGTTTTCCCAGAATAATTAGCATTACAACGTTCAATTTAAAGGCAAATGATTCACAGATACACCTTCGATGCACATGAATCGAACTGAAAATTGAGTTATTTGGGTTCATATAAGATGATGATCAAACAAAATACTAGTCAAAGTAACCGATGATCATAGCTCAAAAGTTTTGAGAGAAAGAGAGAGGGATGGGGCCCAAGTTTGATCTATCTATTATCCAAACCGGCTAAAACAAGTAAATAGTCTAAAAGAACAGGTTACCCACAACTTAGTTCCCTCATAAAGCCATAAAAAAAATTTAGTGACTAAAAGGATAAACCCTAAAAAGTTCGTAGACTATATGTGTCATTTTCCCTATTCATTATCATGAAATAACATTTTTAATTTTGTCATAAATATTCATTAGTTTTTTGTATGTGGTTTCGTGAAATGGTTTTTAAATCGTGAAATTATTCTGCCGATATCAAACAAGTAATCAAAAGTTAACAAAATTCTTTACCTTAAGCAACTTTTTATACAAAAGAATAAAATCTTTATGATATAAGTATTGCTAAACCTAGCGAAATGACCATTTTTTAACCAAAACTACTAAATTTTGACTATAAGAAATGATCTCATGCATTATCTTACCCACTATGATCACCCTTCCACATTGTAGTAATTCTATGATTAGCCAACCCCATACAAAATTATGTCTATAATAAATTAGTTGTGAGACCTATGTATTATATGAGTTAATTTAAAAAAAAATTAAATATAAATGTCAAAATATTTGAGAACTTTGAATCTATAAGAAAAATAATGAATTATTATAATGGAAATGTTTTTTCATTTTTTTAATTTAAATAAATAAACAAAAGTTACTAATGAACTTTAATTTTGGGAATTTTGAAATTAAAAGGTAAGTTGATTAATGAAATTGATATCAATTTATTACTATATTTATTGTAATTATTTAATTAAAATATTATGTGGAATTTAATAAAATAGAAAAACTCATAAAATGACATGTGGAAAAAAATTAATTCAAAATAACCTCTAAATGACATTTGGCAAATTGAATGAGAGTATGACAAGTGGCGAAAAAAACTTTCATTTATTATAGTAGAAACCGCGAGTAAAAGTAATAACGGTCTTATGCCTAATTGACAACTTCCTTTCCCATGCCTAAGTCTTTCAAACAACTTTTTATACAAAAGACTTGAATCTTTATGGGGAAAATGACACATGCCATATGAACTTTCTAGAGTTGATCATTTTAGTCACTTAACTTTTTAATTGTCTTTATGAGGGAATGAAGTGTGTGGAAACCTGGAAATTTAGCCCCTCCTACTTATTATGCCCGGTAACCCTACCACAGCATCCATATTTGACACGTCATTGATGACATGGCAAAATCGTAATTACGTCTAACGACCCAAACGACATTGTCTGGAGTGTGAATCGTAGAGGGCACATATGTACTATTTCACCCGTATCCGAATAAAAGTAGAACATTGTGCCCTGAAATGGCACAATTCGAAACCTGGTTACTCTAACTGCATCCTTGACTTCAATCCCAATCGGCAAAACCATGCCTTCACGATCATCTCCAAATCACAGTTGGTCACCTAACTACAGTCGCCACATGGCTGAGAATGTCTCCAACGGAGTCACTCATGAAGACATGGCGATCAATCTGCTCCAGACATAGTTGGAGTTGTCGCTTGTAAGGGAGGAAATCGCAAACGACATTCGCGAACTACGACGCAACTTCACTAGAGACTTGGACGCCCTAAACCATGAAGTAGATGATATTAGGGCAGGTCAACTCGATCTGTCTAACATGGTTGCTGATTTGAAGAACCATTTATGTTCACTACAAGCATCATATGTCAACATCGTCTTGGGTAAAAACAAGTGCAAGAAAGTGAAATGGGTTGTTGGGGTTTTGTTGTCGTTGTTGTGGGGTGTTAACTTACAAATTCTTAAAACGACTGAAGAACTTTAGGTTCCAACATTTTTGTCGTGGGTTTGTATTTTGTTATGACGTACATCTAGTTTATTGTCTTTATTAGTAAGTTGTTTTGTTTCTTGTGTTTTTGTTTCTGGTGGTAGTAGTTGGTGGTCGTGGTCGTCGTTTTTGTGTTTTTTCTTTACTCAAAAGCCTGTTCAAGCCTTCTTTAATGGTTAGACTCTAGCCTCTAATAAAGATCGAGATAAGGGCATTTCTTTGAGAAAGTATAGGAGAAGCTTGATGCTTCAGATCCAACCCCGACAACTCAAACTTGTTTTTTGGCTAGCAAGAAATAGGCACTTGTTCTTACCTATCTAAACTCTATTTTGGCTTGCTATAAGATTAGTACTGGTTCTTACCATCAATCTCTTTCCTATCTAGAATGGTGGGTACATCAATTCTTGTTGATCACATTCATGGGGGAGAAGCACTGAAGGCTCTAGTCCGAGGGTTTCTTCTTCTTCGATTCAAGCAAGTCGACCATAAGGTGAATCGATGTCATGTTGTTGTGATGATCAGTTTTTTTATTGTAATCACAGGTGATGGTAGTCGTATGTAGTAAGATGCAGTTACAAATCATGTTTTAACTTGTCCAATAGATGTAAAGATGTAACACAAACCCATGAATAAAATGTTGGTTAACTTAAAATATTGTTGTTATAGCTTTGAATGTGCATGTAATCTATATAGAAACAAACCAACAATCATATAAGTGATTAAGTAATACCCATATTTGTTGATGTTCTTTCTGGGACCACATGACAAAGTCAAACTCTTTTAAACAAACAAAACAGGGGCCATATGGTTTCTATTGGTGACAAGGGACAAAAAAAGAATAATTTAATATACGAGGCATCTTTTTGGGACCAGTGCAAAGTCCTTGTTTTTAGTGCTTGCCTACTTAGATAATTGAATGGAAAACCTGAAATACCCCTAATGGGTTAAGTCACATAAAAAGTCCTGACTGAAATGCCCACAACACCCCTTAAGGGTTACATGACAAAAAGGACTAAAATACCCCTACTGGGTTACCCGCTTTAAATTACTAAAATACCATATTTGTTGAAGTAATTGAAATGACAATATTACCCCTAACGGCTGAACTTCTTTGAATGACTAAAATACCCCTACTTGTTTAATTACTTGAAATAACATACCCCTATTAGATTAACTCCTTTAGATGACTAAACTACCCCTAACTATTTAAGTATTGGAAATGGCTACACTACCTCTTATTATTTAACTATATCAAAATAACTAAACTGCCCCTAACTGTTTAAGTATTGGAAATGGATACACTACCCTTTATCATTTACCTATATGAAATGCCTAAACTACCCCTAATACCCTAAGTACTTGAAAATACGAAACTACCCCTACTGCCCTAACTATCTCAAATGACTAAACTACCCCTACATGTTTAAATATTTGTAATGACTAAAGTACCACGTACACATTAATATAAAGAACATAATACATAATGTAATTACATACACGAATCCAAATAGCAAATCTTAAGATTAGTATAACATATATTAACATAGCAAACATAAATTACCTTGTTCCCGGCCACAATAATAACATTTCTTAATCCACATAACAGACACACAATTAAAACTGTAATTAATCCAAGTCTATTGGCGATCCAACACTGCTACCTTCACCTTCAACCCTTTTAACAAGTTTTAGTTTAAGAATTCTCTCAGACTTTTTTCCTCTTGCTTGGTTGACCTCTACTATACATATGCCCAACAACTTCATTAACCCTACCCAGTTCCTCACCTTCATCAACCCTCACCGCTTCCTCAGATTCATTAACCCTCCCCACTTCCTCAACTTCATTAATCATTACTACTTCCTCAGCTTGTGGCTCAACTGCATCACCCATCACATCATCTTCCCCACCCCCTTGCATATTCACTAACTCTTGTGTTTGCATAACCTTTTGTTTCTTTGTCACATTAGTTTTTGGAGACCTTGGCACTTGAGTGCAAGTCGTCTTGTTTGTGTCCTTTTTGTTTGCATACGCCACAATAAACCTTTTTCCCTACCTCTGAAACCGTGTGTTTCCAGACCTTTCAGAAGCATCCCTTATTTTCTTCATGGTTTGTCTGTATATTATTCTTCTTTTCAATGGAGGCAATGGGGGTATATAGTATGTATAAGGCCACACGTTCATTCCATTCATGCCATTAATGGATTGTTTGTAAGTATTATGGAAGAAGACTCCCAGGTACAATGGGTCTACATATGGTCCATGAGGTGTAACCTTTGTATCGCTACTTGTGATACAAAGAAGTTGAATGGGTCGGGTTGGGAAAACTGGTGAGTACGTAGGGTTTTCAACCCACAATAATATAATTTATCTCTTTTTAATATATATATATATATATATATATATATATATATATATATATATAATATATATATATATAATTCACACCAAACAGTTAACCCGATTACCCATTCTCGTTACTCTCTTTCTCTTTCTCTTTCTTTCTCTCTCTCTCTCTCTCTCTCTCTCTCTCTCTCTCTCTCCCCTCTCTCTTATTCGATAGGATCTATCTCAAGAGTTCTATTCTAAGGATTACTATAAGAAACGAGTATAAAATACAGCTTAATAAATTTCCATGGAAAAATAGAGTACTCGAATGAACCCACAACCCATACTCCCGGTGTGTGTGATTCATTAACACCTACAGGTTGCAAGTCTGCTAGTGTTCCACAGGACTGTCTAGAATATATGTATGCTTGTTTGTATTTATGACTACATGAAAGAGTATGGTGGTACCATAACACTTGCATGAAAGACTATGGTGGTACCATAACACTTGCATGAAAGATTATGGTGTTACCATAACAGGTGCATGAAAGACTATGTAGGATCATAGCAGGGAAGACTGTAGTGGTACTGTAGTAACATAAGTGAGCTTAAGACTATGATGGTATCATAACACTCACATAAGTATGGTATTTGAGAAACTCATTAAGCTTTATGCAAACTGTTTAAGTTTAAATGTTTCAGGTAGTTCTGGCAACAATGTGAAGGGCGCGACTTGATTGCACTTTATATATATATATATATATATATATATATATATATATATATATATATATATATTAGAGATTTCCGCACACTTGATTTTATTATATATATATATATATATATATATATATATATATATATATATATATATATATGACTCGGATTTGATTATGGTTTGAATTAGGGATGTCAACGAGACCAAACAGTAGCAGAAATAACTGCCCCCTCCCTCGCCCCCGAATTTAGTTGTTGCCCCCACCCCTGAATCCCTTATTTACATAGCCCCCGATCCCGCCCCCGAAAACATTCATCCACCCCCGATCCAACACCCGTTCCCCCGTTTTATAGGCTTAAAAGTGATTTTTTTGCTAAAAAAACTGCTATATTTTGTAACATCCCAAAATTCATGACCAAAACTTTCATTTTTAAATACGTAATTATAAAAACCAGTAGTCTGAAAACATCAATAGTGTCATCCCATATAATAATCAAAAACCAATATCTCAATAACCAAAACATGTCATAAGAAAACAACATCAGAGTACAACTCCCAAAGATCTCATGTGCAGAAAATCATAGTATGATGTGCTGCGATCATGCCAGCTCCTTTCCTTTCGAAAAAGAAGTACCTGAAACCAAAACTGAAAACCGTAAGCACGAACCTTAGTGAGTAACCCCATCGTACCACCTACCATACAATAAACATACTGCCTAGCATATTCGGGTGCTGGCCTACCATTTTGGTCTTTTACAACCGGTAACCGCCTAGCATATCAGGGTGCTGGCCTACCCCTTCGATCTCTTTCAACCGGTAACCGTCTAACATATCAGGGTGTTGGCCTACCCCCTTCGGTCTCCTTCAACCGGTAACCACCTAGCATATATGGGTGCTGGCCTACCCCTTAGGCCTCTTTCAACTGGTTACGGGGTCTATTTCGCCCCTACCACTACCACATAACAGCATACATAATCATACATAAACATATTGGCAGGCATATATGGGTGCCCGACCTACCCCTTCGGTCTTATCAACCGGATACGGGGTATATTTCACCCCTACCACTACCACATGATATCATAGCATACTAGCATATAAATCATAACAGATACTGGCATACCAGACACTTATCACAAAGACGATCATCTAACTACAAACTCCTACTAGTGGGTTGGACTTGGTGCCTTAGACCCACTGCTACCGGGAAGGTAAATCACCTCGCACTGCTGAAGATCGCTGCAATAAATCCTTAGTTGTTGCCCAGGCAACTCCTCGAGCTATCAATACCAAATATCACCCAATTAGCAATTGGGTCCCAAACCATGATCCATAATCCATAATTGGGGTAAAATGACCATTTTACCCCTGGCCTAACAAGATTCATAACTTAGGCCAAGCCCAAAACCAACAAGTCCAAAACTCCAAAATCCATATAAGCCTAATAATGGCCCAATTTCCCAAATTGGGCCCAAACCCTTGCATGGGCCTTACCCCAAAGCCCAATAACTTATTCCCAATCCAAACATACATCCTTAGCTGGTCCAACAAAATCCAAGCACTTACAAGCCCATAAGAAAGCCCGAACCCGAAATGGCCCACAAGGCCCAATAAGGCCCAAATCCATCATGAACCTAACCCAAGAAGGCCTAATGTCCAAAAAGGCATGAAATACTGAATGATCAACCCTAGTCAACTCCTGGTCCAAAGAACAAAGCCCAAAAGGTCAACAATCCAAGAAAACCCAACCTGGTCGAGTACGTCCTGCGTACTTATATGGTACGCTAAGCGTACACCTGTTGAAACAGCCCAAAAATACGGTCCAAAATTTTCGTTTTTAATTATTAATAAAACCATAGTTATCAAACCATCACATAAAATCATAAGTCATTGTATATCAAAACATCATAAACATTTGTTAAATATATCAGAGTAAAAACATCCCAGGCTAAATCATGGTGTGTGCAATGCAGTCATCCCGAGTTCTTCCCCTTGCTACCGGAAGTACCTGAAACCAAAACTAAAAATTGTAAGCACGAAGCTTAGTGAGTATCCCCAAACTACCACATACCATACAAGTAATCATATAATCACATAATAACATATCATGGGCCTTGCCCACTACATCGGGCACCACCCGACATCGGACAAGTTCGGCATCGGGCCCCGTCCGGCATCGGACCGAGATCCGGCATCGGGCCCCACCCGGCATCGAGCAAAGCTCGGTATACATATAACATATCAACAAATACACATAAATAATCACATAACATAAACATATAAACATTCCTCGGGCCCCGCTCGACATCGGACCAAAATCCGGAAACGTACAAGCATTCCTCGGGCTATTCCCGACATCAGATCGAAGTCCAGTGACATACAAAACAGGCACATGCAAAAATCACGAAGACATCAAGCATACAAACATTCCTCGGGAACTGCCCGACATCGGATCAGAATTCGGAAGCATATAAATCTACATCGGGTGCTGCCCGACATCGGGCCTTAGTCCGGAATATACTAACATACATAAACGGGGTCAGTATTGGTGCCTTCGACCCGTTCCTACAGGAGGAAACTCACCTCGCAAAGCTGAATGCAGAATATCACGGTAAGGAATCTCTAACGGCTGCTCCAATGACTCCCCGACTATCATTATCACAATAACACTTACTCAAAATCCAATAATCCTTCTTAGGGTAAAATGACCATTTTACCCCTGGTCTAATTTGGACCATAACCTAGGCCCAATTCCATATAATCTTTCCAAGCCCACTAATGGCCCAATTTTCTAAATTGGGCCCAACTCCTCAAATGGGCTTTCCCTTAAGCCCAAACATGTCCTTAGCCCAATAACTGACTCCTGATGGCCCACCAAGGCCCAATAGCTAAGAAGCCCAAATATTGGCCCAAACCGAGGCCCAAACGATGAATAATCTGAATCCAGAGAGTACGCGGGGCGTACTCCTCTGTACGCTAAGCGTACAGGCTGCATGGCGTGTACGCTGCGCGTACGGGCTTGTACGCCCAGTGTACTACCATGTTAAGCCATAAACTTCAAAAGGGCTTAATCCCTTAATACCTTAAGCTCCAAACACAGATTTGAGTCCACTAAAGTGTCTTAACCCATAAAGTCGATTACTTGGTGGCTTGCAACCCACCAAATGGACCCAAACTTGAAATATGACAACTAACTTCCATGGAAAGGACTAGAACTCATGCATGGCCTCAAAAGGACCTTCAAGATTGAAACTTTTCTATTATCGGGACTCATATAGCACTAAGGGTGGCAACCCTAAGCCTATAAACGGATTTGAACCATAAAAATCCGCTATTGGGACCTAAAGAGGTCCAAAACACCATTAACATAGATCTAAGCATTCATGAGGCAAGTTGAGAGCTTTTTACCTCAAATGAGTGTTAAATGGTGATGTTATATCAGATCCTTGAGATCAAGCTACTCAAGTTCTTCTTCTTCAACTTCTTCTTTCTCCTTCCAAGCATCAAATCACAACAATAAGATTCACAAGGTCAAAATCACACAAAGATGAAGAGTGGAAGGCTTTCTAGGGTTTCCGAGGTTGAGAGGCTAGTAAGGAGGATAGGGTTTGGGAGATAATGTTGTATTTATATGGCTTAAACCCTAAAAATTAGGGTTTTGAGTCTGCTCGCGTACGCGCATGAACCCCCCGCATCCAATGTTGTACTACGCCCCGTGTCGCAAAGCTTACGCCCAACGTACGTCTTCGGGTAGCCCAATAACAAACGGCCCACTCACTAAGGCCCAACTCAACAATCCACTATTAAACTCATTGTCCAACAATTAATTATAAAGAAATTAAATAATTATCATTACCTCAAGTCACGAGTTTTACAATTCTCCCCCATTTGAATCAAA